TTTTGATATTAATATTTTTAATAAAAAATAACATTTTAAATAATACTCTATCAAAAATATTAAAAAATATTAATATTTTTAATAACATATTTCTTTAATATTATATTAGGCTCCCTAGCCTTTGATATTCACGTTTTACCGAACTAATGATCCACATTCTATGGAAATAATAAAGGAAATAAAGAAAAAGAGTCAAAGCGTGAATAAAACCTTTTACTTACTTCATCTCTCTCATTCTCTTTCTAACCTTCTCTTTCTTTTGTCTTTTTTTATATAAAAAAATCTCTCTTCTTCTTCTTCCTCTTCCTCTTCCTCTTCCTCTTCCTCTTCTTGTGTTTACTTACTGATGAAAGAGTGAAAAATGAGGTTGAGATTCGTTGTGTTTTTCATGGTATTATCATTATAATGAAAGGAGAAATCATTTGCTGTTTCTTTGAACAGCCATGGCTCTGCAAGCAGAAGAGACACAGCAACAACAGATTCAAAGCCCACCATTGATTTTCGATGGGCTGTTATGTGAAGAAGAAGATTTAGGGGACTATATTTTTGAAACTGAAACTGAAACTGTGAAAAAGAAGGCGTTTGTTGTACCTTTATTCCTTAATGAACATGATTTGATCTGGGAAGATGATGAGCTAATCTCTTTAATGTCTAAAGAGAAACAAGCCCATGTTGGTAACATTGACGTTTGTTCAGATGAGTCTTTTGTTTCAGCTCGTAAAGAAGCCTTGGATTGGATTTTCAAGGTCAAGGCACGCTACGGGTTCAATGCCTTGACCATGGTTCTCGGTGTTAATTACTTTGATAGGTTCATTTTAAGCTTCAAGTTCCAAAAAGACAAGCCCTGGATGGGACAATTAGCTGCTGTGGCTTGTTTGTCTTTGGCCGCAAAGGTTGAGGAAACACAAGTGCCGCTTCTTTTAGACCTCCAAGTATGTGTCAAATGCCAACGAAATTATAGTCCCGAGTTATGTTTCTGAAGTTTTCATTCAGTAATTAAAGTTGAAAATTTTCTTCTTTCTTCTTCTTTAGGTGCAGGAAGCAGAGTACGTGTTTGATTCAAAGACCATACAAAGAATGGAGCTTTTGGTGTTATCAACTCTGCAATGGAGGATGAACCCTGTGACGCCAATTTCCTTCTTTGATCATATTACAAGGAGGCTTGGATTAAGAACTAATTTGCATTGGGAGTTCCTTTATAGGTGTGAGCGTTTGCTTCTGTTCCTCATAACTGGTGAGAGTAGTCAAGAACTGCTTTTGTGTTTCCATTGCTAATCAAAAAGTTTTTTTTTTGTTTTCTTGAGTTCTAACTTAGGTTTCCAATTCGATTTTGATCCAGATTCAAGGTTCATGCTTTATGTTCCTTCTATCTTAGCTGCTGCAACAATGCTGCATGTTGTTAAAGAGGTTGAGCCATGCTATCACCTTGAATATCAGAAACAGCTAACTGGTGTGCTCAAGACATGTGAGGTTTGTACATGATTACTTGTAGTCCTCTATTCTAGCCACTTCGGAACTTGATTTTTCCATCAATTGTGGGTTTTTTTTTTTCGACAGGGTAAAGTAAATGCCTGCTATGAGCTCATCTCGGAGGTACTTAGCCGGAACAAAACAAACGAAGCCCACAAAAGGAAGCATAAATCAATACCAAGAAGCCCTAATGGTGTCATCGATGCATCTTTTAGCTTTGATAGCTCAGATGATTCGTGGGTTATGACACCTTCGGTCTCGTCATCACCACGACATCCTTTCAAACGAAGTAGAGCTCAGGACCAGCAAATGCGTCTGCCTTCACTAAATCGTATGTTTGTGGATGTTCTTAGTAGCCGTCGTTAAATCATTCCTTGGTCATAATAACTAGTAGTCTAGTACTGTTGAACATGTTAAAAATCCTCTTGCGAATTCGGTAGTTAGCGTTCTTTAATGTGCAACTGATATGTGTTCCTTAACTTATTCGTTGCCTTTTATGGCCAAGTTTTCTAACATGGACCAGAGATGTATTCGTATCTGCTAAATTCCACTTTGATTCATCTTTGGAGGTCAGTAGGGAGATTGGCAAATATGCTATGGTTTATGATTCTTCGAATGTATGGCTCTGAAAGAACATATATCCAGGGCAGCCTCTTTTTCTGCATACATCTATATTGTTTTTAGCTTTTTATCTCAGAATTCATGTGAAAATAGAACTAACAGCAAAGCTAAACTGTCTTGTTACTTTTGCGCGTAGGATTTGGGACTAGCAGCAAAAGTCCCTAGAGAACAACAATCAAATTCCCACTAGCAGGCAGTGTTTACCACCATCAACCTTAACTATGACATTACGAAAAGTTATGCTCTGCCAAGCATTTAACCTTTTAAGTCCATCACCATCTTTGCACTTGCTGGTTTTTTATATCATTTTATTGGCAAAAACAATAGCTGTCATCTTGCCTTATTACCTATCATGTCTGCTTTTTCTTTTCTCTGTTTGCATGTCTTTGGTCCTTATAATTTGAAATAACTTTCTTATTTTGTCATTTTGAAGCTTGTGGTCGTATATTATTGGATTTACTGATATGTATTACTGAAGAAACTGCTGGCCTACAATTGTATGTAAAATTTCAAGGCTTAGACATTATATTGGCAATGAGCTTTGAATGCAATGATAAAATCATACATGAGAGCCCTTTGTGATAAGCAAATTGGTCTTGCATAGGGCGTGGAGTTTTCGAACAATCTGTTTTCTGGTTTCATTTTGACTTGATGAACATTAGCATCAGTCATCAGAAAGTGTCACGCAGCGGAAACTTGTGTTCCAAATGCAAGAAAGTTCAAAAACGAGAATAGTTTTTCGGAGTGCAGCTTGGTAATTCAAGCGAACTTGAAAAGCTTATGGGGGGAGACAGTGGAGATTTGGAGAAATGGGCGGGAAAAATCATTAGATGTGTAAGACTTTTTTTTTGAGGATGTCTTTTGTACCTTGTGGCCCTTCATTCCCCCCCCCCCCAATTTTCCCTTTGCTTTCATGTAGATTGTTTCACTGCAACATGTACATAATAGAAAGAAAATACAAAAGAAGGAGAAGAAGAAAGGAAATTCCATTTGTTTATCGTTTATAGCAACTCTTTTGTCTTTGTTTGGTCTGATAATAATGGAATGGAGGGGACAAAGCAAAATGAAAAAGGGAGGGAAAATTGGATCCCTCCACAGGCTAAAGAAGGGAAAACAACATATGTTTACTAAACACAAAAATAATGCATTACGAATCGTATTTCATGTTTATTATTGAAACCCATTTTATAATGCGTACCGTTATTCAGGTTTACACAATTGACACGAGAAAAATACACAAACACGACGTGTATACATGAATTTAAGGATTCACGGCGTGTCTTTCTTTTTCCATATATCATTGCCCATGTTTTTAGGGTACAAACAGCAAGGTCTCATCAAGTACAACAAGGAAGGCCTCACCTATGTTTAAAAACAAGAACCTTTGTCCACAAACGTTTGGGATTTCATTTTCACATGCTTCAATAGATAGTCTTCAAGGTCCAAACTTGGCAGAAAACAGTGTATTAATAGTGTTTGATTTTATGATATTGGTGTAAACAAGTAGAGCTTATTGCTGCTTTTTATAAATGTGGCAGCTCAAGCCACTGAATTCTCTTATAGGAAAACAGACAAAATGTACAACCAAGGGCATAATTTCTAACGCAATAAACATGTCTTGTTTAGTTTGGTGGGAATTTATGAGTTATTTGCAGTAGCTTCAATAATTTGGTCTTTTAGGTTCTGATCAATCTTGTTTGAACATGAACTTGGGAATTTCACTGCAACAGATATATCATACATTTCAATAGTTTCTTATGATGTACAATGCATTTATACTATACATTCCAAGGATTATATATGTATATCATGCATTTGAAAGACTCTTCAAATACATTGAAAAATAAAATAAACATATTCATGTCAGACACATACCTATACCCAAAGTCCTTGGTCAGATATGGCACATGTAGCCTGTATGTACGCATTTAATGGCGTTGGCGTACTGAAAGCAAACCAGTTGTATCATTGATTTCAGAAATAACGGAAGATCATCCTGCAAAAAACAAAGACAAAAAACGAACAGACAAGTCTAAACCTTTATTAGCTTTCTTTCAGGACCAGCATTAAAGTTGAAACTAGAAAGATCCTTGTTAAATGTTTGTTTGACAATTAAAACTCACATTGTACTTTACCTATACAAGTCATACTCTCCAAAAAGTAGAAAAGAAAAATGAAAATTGTAATGTGACTCTGAAGTTTTGTTAAGAATTTCTTAATGGATGATCATCATTCCGTTAGTTTCGAGATAGTGCATCTTTGGCAGATTCCAGGGTTATCGCGACGGCAGCCGCTGCAGAAGTGAGGACACTGCCACTGGTCTTTGGATTGCTTGGTGAATTGTGGTGACTTAACTGCACATTTTTCAGCTCTTGGCCTTGCCCTGCCGATGAATTACAAGAATCCACATTTCTTTCAACTTGTACATTTAAGGTGTCACCCTCCTATTCAAGGCAAAGTTTTTCTTTTTTAATCTTTAAATCTCAATTCAAGAAATCAACAATCACTGAGAAGTGAGAATCTGAAAAGGAAAGGGAAAAGAAAAAGCACCTTCTTGGCTCCCTTGTCCATATTGAATGCAATAGTTCTTAATTAAAGATTTTGCATTTTGATTTTAACAAGTGGGGGAGTATATTAGAAGCTATAAATGGTAACTAGGCCCCCTTATTTACTGGTTTTATTGACACATGGTTGATGAATGGTTGGTCTCCCTGTACCATTTTCTAGACAAAGAAATAGGCCCTAACATCAAGTGTACACCTAACACATGTCACTCTCTTTTGTGCAATTTTGAACTCAACCCAAGCTTTGAAACAAAAGTTAAGAAAAATAAAATGAAAATGAAAACCTATAAGTCGTTCATTAGATACATTTCTGAATACAAGGGTACTCCAAAGTTATTATCAATGTTTTATCAGTATCCATAGTAGTTTGAGGAAGATGGGATTTTGTCAAGAATTTGTAAGGCTTCTTTCATGGTGGGTCTCTTTTGTGGTATTGGAGATGCACAAATGTACCCCAACTTGAAACAAGCCACCAATGCATCCTCTTTGTCTTCTAACTCCCCGCGAATTGCCGCATCAGCCATTCTCAATGCCTTGTTTTGGTCCTCGACGACAACCCCGTTTCCCTTCCCCAACTCATCCACAACTACAACTTTCCCCGTTAGAAGCTCAAGCAAAATCACCCCAAATGCGTACACATCCCACTTCGGGTTGGGCTTGAGGCTCCGAAGCGACTCTGGGGCGAGGTAAGGCGATACACCGAACGAGCTCGGGCTCGGACTTGGACTAGGTCCAAGTAGTTCTTGGAAGCTATCCCTCGATGCAGTCGACCTCTTGCTACCGAAATTTCGAACCGACCTCCCGATTTTAGAGCTCGTATCGCCCATTACAAGCCTTTCAAGACCGAAATCTCCAATTTTGGGCTCCATGTTAGAGTCTAGGAGGATATTGCTGGGCTTCAAACTGGTGTGCACATGTTTCTTCTCATGGAGATATGCTAGCCCACGGGCCATACCTCTAGCAATCTTTAGCCGAGTCTCCCATGGAAGATGACAAGGCGAAGAACCACCTTTTCCTGGACAAAAAGAAATTAACAAAAAAACCCAAAACTGAGATAACAAAGATGGGTCGTTTTCACAAGTAAACGTCAATCGTTGTTTGACTTTACCATGCATTAAACGACAACGTTTAATTGCACCTACTACACAACGTTTTAGTTGTATACTTGTATGAAAAAATGAAAAGGTTAAAGGGAGAAAAGAACTCACTGTTATAACGAGCGTTGGCCAAGCTGCCGTTTGGTACAAAATCGTAGATAACGAGCTTTTCATCGACTCCCCAATAGAACCCACGAACCCGGACCAAATTGGGGTGCACCAGTTTAGCAATGGCTCGAACCTGGCTCTCGAAATCCTTGAAACGGTCCACACTGTTCTCACCGATCCGTCGGACCGCCAACGAGGACCCGTCTTCGAGCACTGCTTTATACATGATATTAGACCCCGTGGCACCTAATATGTATGCCGACGCTTTCAGTAACGTATCTAGGTCGAGCTTCTTTTCACCATCGACGGTCACCAATCTCCCTTTCTTGTCATGTTCTTGCTCTTCCCGCCGTTGATTATCTTCTTCTTCTTCTTCGGTGTCGGATTCTTCTTCGTACTCTCCTTTCTTTCTCAAACACGACCATATCGAAAACCCTCTTGGTTCCAACGATGGAGACGTTAATGACCGATTGTCTTGAGCTGCGTTATCTTCTTGCTTCAGTGTACTCTCGAGTGGCACTCTCTTTTTGGTCTTTATTTTGTAGATGACAGAGAAAACCATGATTACAAGTACAATCCCTGCTATATCTCCGACTATGATTGCCACTATTGTCCCTGGTTTGAACTTGTTTTGTGGTGATTTTTTAGCTCCGGTGTCCGGTGTCTTCGGGATGGCGGCAATTGCTGGAGGAGAAGTTGGTGAAGGACTTGGACAATCACGCTTTGTCACTTTGCCACATAGAAAAGGATTCCCCAAAAAAGATTCGGGTTCTCGGTTCTTAAAAACAGCGGAATCCGGGATTTCTCCTGTTAGATTATTGAAGGAAAGATCAATAGTGGCGTTACCAGGAATTTTCTCGGCGAATTCCGGTGGAATTTCTCCGGAAAGTCTGTTGTAAGAAAGGTTCAAGTACTTGATATTGTTGCCTCCGAAATTTGGAGGCAAATAACCTTCGACAAGATTGGAAGATAGATCTAAAACTTGAACTGACTGAAACCCAGTTGGAAGATTGCCTGAAAAGTAATTGTTCTTAAAAGAAACAACAGTTAGATTCTGGATAGTAGTGAGAGTTGCAGGCAAAGTACCCGACAATCCATTGTCGGAGAGGTTAAGGAATTGAAGGTTCTGCAAAGTTCCTATCGTTTCCGATATTCCACCGGAGATCAAATTGTTGGACAAGTCAAGAAAACGAAGCTTGGTCGAATTGAACAACGAAACAGGAAGAGACCCGTTCAGTGAATTGTTTGAAAAATCAAGATTCCGAAGGTGTTCGAGCCTACCCAGATCGGATGGAATCGAACCAAGAAGTTGACAATTCGGAAGAGACAAGCCTGTAACTCGAAGGTTTCCATCAATGGAGCCACAGACCACTCCGTTCCAAGAACAAGGCGACTGGTCGACGAAGTTCCAGCTTTGTAGAACGTTTAAAGGATCACTTTGAATCAAATACCTGAAAGAAAGCAAGAGAACCCCATCTGTGTTTAGCCCCAGAGATTGAACCACAAGAAACTCGAGAACAACGAGAGCTCCCCACCATGAATGGAGTTTAAAACCAGGGAAGGAATTCATGTTTTTTATAACTGATCACGCATTTCTCGTATGAAAATAGACACAAAGAAAGAGGAAGGAGAGAGACAGGTAGAGCAGTGAACTAAGAGAAGTAACTGAGATTTATCATTTATGTCAACGAAGTTGCAGAGAGGCCATGTGATGGAATTTGGCAGTAAAGGAAAACAAATCAAAAGGAGAAAAAAAGCTATGAAATTTTACACAGCTCTGTAAAAACAAACTTGTCTCATACCGCCAGAAATGTTTTGGATTGGCTGCACTCTCTGTGTCAATATATACAATTATTCTTAAATGATTATTGATTAATGATCTCACAGTTGGTTTTATGAGTAAATAAATAAATAAACAAATAAAATCAAGTACGACCTACAGGCTACCACATCAGAACAGCATCTTTGCTACAAGACATCTATGTGTAGATGAAAAAGGTTGCAGTGTTCTTTCTTAGACCATCTGGTTCGTTAGTTTTCTTTTAATTACATTAAACAAAGATGTGTTAACGTATAAAATCTCATTACAAAATCTTGATCATATGCTTCAATAACTTTTCCTGTTTTGTCAAATGTAGATGATTTGTCACAGAAATATACAGTATGCGTTTCCTATAAACTCGACTATTGCTTAAACAGGATTCGGGAGGGAAAATGAATCAAAAACTTTGACGTCATAAATCAGCAGGGGCAACATTATTGTGGAGGGGACCCTCATTAATATCGATATTCACCAGAGCGTCATTAATGCATTTATAGGAATTTTTAAGTCTTCATTGCTCTACCGTTTCCAAAAATTTGACCATCTGGTGAGCCCCCTTGCCATCATTACATATGCATCTCCTACCTACATACTTTAAACATGAAAATTCCCCAACAATGAACTACCAGGGACTTGATTCAATAAACCTGAGACGAAAGTAGAGGGGGTCAACTGTAATTAGACCTTAAACCTGATAGGAAGAAAGGAAGGGATAAAGGTAAACAAGAAGGAAAACGATAAAACCTTGAAAATGACCACCAAAATGAATATATTGGCAGAGGTTATTTAGAGTACAAAAATCAAGATGAGTCAAATATTTGTACTTTTATAATATTTTGTATAATATTAACTGATTCGGAACCCGGGCTGCAATCAGAATTTGAAAGCCTAACAGGACATGTTCTGCTGTCTACTATTTTTTTCTAAGAACCCCAAATCTTTTTCTACTCTATAACATGGAATAACGACCAATAATCAGCTATGATTCCTCTCCAAATTGTCCTCATCCAAGTTGATCAGGCTGTCCATTGCTCACTTTTCCTCAACACTCAAGATTCCAGCTATGGGTCCTAGATTTCCCATTGTTTTCTTTATTGGAACTAACCCAGATTTGAGTTCGACAACGATGGTGGAAAGCTTTTGCCTTTTGTTCTTCCACCTCAAATGGCAGAACCGTGAGATCTAAACTTGTAATATTGTTCACACCTGGAGGGGACTCCATTATTTCATCACTCTTTTATTAAAAAAACATTGTTTGTGGCAGCTTTACCCACAACGTTATAATGTAAATTAAACCAGTGGGGATACATACATATTCAGGTGTTGATAAATACAAGATTCAAAAGATTTTGTCTGCCTGACTTGTTTATTGTGCTTCATTTTACTTTGTAATTTCCATAAACAAATCAAAATACATTGGCCAATCGCATTCCTCTTTTTTTCCTAGAGGATGAAAATGAACTTTTGGAAAGGTAAATATGGGTCCACAAGAGCCTTGGATAAAAGATTTTGTGTTTTTGACAGCTTGGTAATTAACATCAGTCATCAGTTAAAAGAGAGAGCGAAAGGTACAGGGTTAATAACATTCTCTGCACTATCACTTTCCATCACTTTGCTTTTATGCTTTTGGATGAAATTCCCATAGTTTTTTTCCTTAATACAAAAATAAATACCTAAATTATATCCAAAGTTAACTTAGGCGTCTAAAGAATTTTTCGACAAAAATATATGTGTTTAACGTTATAAACATTATCATTTTAGATGTACATACCGTAACGACTGTTATATGTTAAATGACACGTGTCACACTATTATAATTTTTAAAAAAGTATTTAAAAAACTTTAAAAATTATTATATTTATAAAAACCCGTAATTTATCTAAAATTACAAAAGAAAAACCTCAAATCCCTAAAATCATCCCAAAATCTCTAATCCTAACTCTTATTTCTCCCTTGCCACCAACGACCACCAACATTAGTGTTACCATTGTCATCTCCTTTCTTGGTTGTCGCATTTTTCCTTGTCGTCATCAGGTTTAAATCGTGATTTAAGGTTTGTTGATTGTTATTTGTCATGTGGTTGACTGTCGGGTGGAGGTGCAGTCGGGTTTAGGTCTGGTCGATGGCAAAAACGACGACAAAGGGCGGCGACTGACGTGGATATAAGGATTAAATTATGATTTTATACATTCAGGGTTTTTAAAGATTTGAGAAAATTTTGAGTTTTTCTTAAAAATATATATTTTAATTTTTTTATTTTAAATAAAAGATCTCAAAATTATTACGACGTGACACGTGTCACTTAGGAATTTTTTTACGACGGTTACAACTCGAGTACCTAAAAATGACACCTATTTTTAACGAAAAACTCTTTAGAATCTAAAGTTAACTTCGGACTTAATTTATACACTTATTTTTACATAAAACCTTCTTTCCTTTAAAAAAATAATGAACAAACAATGAAAGTGGAAATAAGTGTAAACAAACAATTGTGAAAAAACACAATAATATATAGGATAAATTATATATTTAGTCATTAAACTATCACTTTTGTTTCATTTTAATTACCCAACTGTTTTTTTAAAATTATTATTAACGTTATTTTTTTAATTTTATTTTAGTCATCTGCCGTAAGAAAATATAATAACTGCTGACATAACTTCTTTTATTTTTGTCAATGATGGTGTGACTTTACCTTATAGTGACACGCTAGCAGTTGTTAATTTTTTTAGTATTAGGTGACCAAAATAAAATCAAAATGTAACGTTATTAATAATTTTTAAAAATTAATTATATGACCAAAAATAAAATAACAACGATAATTGTATGATTAAATACTTAGTTTATCAGAATATATATTGCTATTTTGTTCATGCTTCTCTCGTAAACCGACCTAAAGATTGATTTCTTGTAATAAAAGAATCAGTAAATCTGTTGTTTAGGTGAAATTTGCAATGAAAGTGTAGTTTACGGCAGGGTGTTAGGTTTATTTGCGCAACTTAATTAATGCGTGCAACACATAGTTGAGCTATTTTTTCTTTCTTTTTCGCCTTGGATTGATATTCGATAGACAAATAGTATATTGCTAAACTCATCATTTTTTTGTTAAAAAAGAATTTTCATTTGAACTAGAAGTTAACATGTTAAATATGATATGATAAAATTATATTTTAATGATGTCTATCGGCACCGACGTTGCTTTTAAGCATTGCTTCAACGGAATAATATAAACGAATAATCGATCCAAAAAATACAATTTAAACAATTATTGAATAAGATTTTATCATATCACAATCAACAGATTTACGACTAGTTTAGATGACAGTCAATTTTTTAAATAGAAAATGAAGAGTTTATAACATATAAATAACTGAGTGATTATTTTATAACTTTTAACGGTCATGAGACTCAATAAAATATCGTTATGTAGTTGATGATCATTTTACAATTTGTAATAATTGAGAAACTCAACGATATTAAATGAGAACTATTTGTCTACTTTACCCAATGATGATGTTGATATGTATTTATTTTTTATTTTCTATGTTATTTTTTTCTCATTGTCAACAATTTACATGACATTCTTTTATATTTATTCAATCAACCTTGTAATAACAAATAAAATGAGAGAAATATCACTACTAGCGTTAGAGGAGGGCGTAGTGAAATTCTATCAAATTTAATATTTTAATCTCTCACCTAAAAAATATGCAAAAGTGATATTAAGAGGAATCGAACAAACGTGAAAGGGGAATCAAACTGGGGAGGAATGCCTTAAAATTCAGCAAAAATAAGTATTCAAATAAAATTATATACCACCTTCAAATTATGTAAAATAGATATCAAGAGAAAATAAATTTGGGACACATATGAAGGGGTCCAATGTTTCACTACTTAACCAAGTTATATAATTATTATTTCTAACCAAACTTTTTTCAGGCACCTTGTCAGCGAGTTGGTTGGGATTTTCAGCCTTTCTTTCTTTGGACAAATGCTAAAAAGGGCCTAATAACAGGGTCTAATCAAGATTAAAGCCTTCAAAACGGTCTATCATAGGATTTGTAATACGTAAAATGAGAGAGTGATTTTTGAAATTCCTAAATTTATGAAGAACCTTAAGCCAATTTAAAGTTGTTAAAGACTTAAATTTTCAATGTGAATGCCATTAGTCTAATATCCCCTCTTAATTGATTTTTTTAATTATTATAATATTTTAATATTAGAACACAACAAGTGATTTCGATGATTAAAGAGAATATTATTTTCTTTTGAAATTTTAGATTTCAACAGTTACATCTGCAGGGTGTATACACATTATCAATAATTAAGAAAAAAAGTTAAATATATATTATCTTGTAATAACTTAAAATATTAAAAAGAATGTTGTAATATTAACCCATTTGATGTCATGGCTTTCAAGTTTGAGGTTTCCGAAATGTATTAAATGGGGGTTTGAAAAGAAAAAACATTCTGCGGCTTTCATAGTTGACAGGATAAACTCTTGATCTAATCATTTTGGTTAACATAAAATTCTGAATAACTTCTTTCTTCCCTTTAAAATAATAACGATGAACGTGCTATATATTCTGTTGGATATGCATTTTTAGAAACAGAAGACCTAATTTATAACAAGTTGATTTCAAAGAAATGGACCAATTGTGCTTCCATATTAAAACCCAAAACGATAGTGGCAAAGTAAGGGAGAAGCACGTGACGGGTCCATTGCCCAATTCAGTTATTGCTTCCACCAAACTTTAGGGTCTAGGGCTGGCTAACCACGAAAACAAACTTTAGGGTTTAGAGTACATGGTTTCGACCCAAATTCAAACCTTACCAACAACGATTATTGATTTAATTTATTTTTCATTCATTCAATTGGGAGACGTGACACCATTTGATTGGATAGAAAACTTATTAAATAAAAAATATTAAATCACAAAGTGACACATATCACCATCAGATTCAAGATTAAATTTATTGAATTTAAAAAAATTAGGATCAAATTAATAGAATGTGTAAGGAATGAGACTAAATGTGTAATTATACAAATTTTTATTAACTGACACATCATCTCTTCTGTTAATACTTAACGGTAGGTAGTTTGATTGACAATATTTAAATAGTTATATGATCCTATTGATAAAATTGAAAAATCTATGATTAAAGTAAAATGAATAAATAATTAAATAGTAAACGATATAGTTTACCTAAAAACTAATATTTTATAAAAAAATAATATTTAAATTAAATTATATTTAAAATTTTAATTAATTTATAATTATATATTTATTATTTTATAATTTAACATTTTATAAATTAATTTAATTATGATCATTATTAACGTTTTTATTTGTGCTCGTCAAATACGATAACATCATCCATTTACGAGACACCTTACATTTCCGTACATTTTTCGTTCAGGTAAAGAAAATGGGATGGATGAGCGACATGTGGTGATTTACACGAGGGGGCCGTTAAACGTGGTGACAGCTTTACCGCCTAGACTTTACGTCATACCACAGTAATAAATCGTCATCCGATTCGGCAACTCTTCTTGTCGTTTTGGGCCACCTCAGCGTTCGGCTCTTTCCATTTTTTCTTGAATACTTGTATTTAAAGGGAATACTTATTTCAAAATTAGTTCAACACCAATTTAAAGTCTTGTATAAAATTCTCATAATCTCTTGTGTACTTGTAAACTGTAAATAAATTATAGGACATAAGACTTTGGTTTTGTTCCTGAAGCAACCATGCTTGTACGCTCTTAGTTTGGAGCGTGTCAGCACTCTCGCCATAACTCCAAGAAAACGATGTAAAATGAAACTCAATTTCGGTATTTTCTACTATTCCTGTAGTGTGTATTATTTCCAATTTGTCTTGTTCTAAATTAGTATTAGTTAAGGTTGAGTGAAACGAATCTTAAAATGAAAGTTTTAGATTCATAATTAAAATTTGTATGAAAAGGAAAATTATTAAAAAATTCAGTATTAAAGATTATAAAAAAGAGAGAGGACGCGGAATTCGAATTATGTTGGTTCAAAATTAAAGTGGAAACTTCGATCCATGCAATCATTTTATTCCTTTTGATTATATTTCTCTCTTTATCTTTTGAGGCGCGAGAGAATGGGATAGAAGCTCCAGCGTTAGAGATTCCCAAAATGGAAAATGCTTAAGAGAGTAAATCTGTGCACTTTAGATTTATCTCGTGTCAGTTAGCCAGTTGTATACCGAACCACCCTTTCCCCTAACCGCTTAACTGGAACAGCCGGTGCCCATAATGCTCTGCTTATCTTTACCCTTCACCCTTTCAACCGGTTACTTCCTCTCCTCTTATATATCCTCCCCTTTGACACCACAAGGATAATAACAGAATCAAAGCATCGAATTTTCATTTGCATTGCTTCTAGTTTTGATTCCATGAATGTAACAAGCATATCAAACGGAAAAGAAATGGATCGGATCAAAGGTCCATGGAGCCCCAACGAAGATAATTTGCTGCAAAGACTGGTCCAAAAACATGGACCTAGGAACTGGTCTTTGATCAGCAAATCAATCCTGGGTCGATCCGGGAAATCCTGTCGGCTCCGTTGGTGCAACCAACTCTCACCCCAAGTTCAGCACCGGACCTTCACCACCGAAGAAGACGAGATCATCATTCGTGCTCATGCAAGGTTCGGGAACAAGTGGGCAACCATAGCGCGACTCCTTAAGGGCCGAACCGACAACGCTATTAAAAACCACTGGAACTCGACGCTAAAACGAAAGTGTTTGTCGGTTGGGGAGGAGTGTAATATTGTTAATAACGATGGGTATGATGGTAATTTGGAAGGGGAAGAGCAACAACCTTTGAAAAGAGCGGTGAGTTCTGGGCATTATATTTATATGACGCCGGGAACTCCTTTGGGATCCGGCGTGAGCTATTTCGGTGCTCCCGATTTATCGTCTTCACCATTGTACAAGGCCATCGAAAGGATGGGCGGTGTTAAGATCCACGTTGACGTGAATGTTACCCCTGAAGGGATCGAAGCGGCGGCGTCTTGCAACGATCCACCGACTTCACCGAGTCTGGCATTACCAGGGGCAGAGTCGTCCGAGGTGTCAACACACCCAGTTACTGAGTCGACTCAGATGCGGAACGAAGGAAAGGATGAAGAAAATAAAGGTAGGGATATGGGGTTCAATACGGAGTTCATGGCGGTGGTTCAAGAGATGATAAAGGCAGAGAGGAATTACATGGTGCAGATGCAACAGCAAAACGGTACAGTTATAGGTGGAGGAATGGGATGGGTTTAGGAATATGGGCTTTGAACCGAGTTGGGGTGAGTCGTATCGAGTAAATTTCTTTGTGAAGGTGAGTGTTTGATGACAAAGAAAAGAAAAGTGTTTGATGACAAAGAAAAGAAAATAGAATTGGTCTTTTTTTTTTTTTTTTTGATAAGGAGATTTTTATTATTTAAATAGGAAGTACAACAACTAAAGTCTCAAATGGGAGTATAAACGCTATTTACAACAACAAAAAATGTTAATCTATACCCCAATAATTACAAAGGTTAACATTAATTCTATCAATTCTATTAAGATTCCTGTCATTAAGTTTGATTCGGACAAAGTCTTTAATAATCCTTAGAACTTGATCAGTCGATCTCGACTCTCATCTAAAAATTCTTCTGCCTTTCTTCCTAAACCGAATAGATAAAAGCAGTCCATGCTAATTTCAAAATGATGATAAGAAGGGATTTACCCTTCCATTCCAAAACAACCCAATTAATCCTGGATTCCCAAGTGTTGTGTATATTACTCAAAGAAGTAAGACTCAAGATAGTGTTCCACAGTGAAGTAGCATAAGTACAGTGCACAAACAGATGGTTTCTGTTTTCAGGAATCTCATTACATAAGATACATAACTCATCAGAAGCAATCCCCATTTTAATAAGCCTATTCCGTGTTGGAAGTCTGTCAAGAATGGCCATCCAAGAGATAATATTGAGTTTAGGTATATGGAGAGGGAACCAGACTATTCTGTGCCAAAGAACCTTAGTTTTGTGAACTCTCAGTTCCTCACATAAATCCCTTGTCCTCTTTAAACCAGAATTAAGAAGAAGGGGCGAAGCTTCACTCCTTAGTCTGATAAGTTTCCTAAAACACCAGCTATAAGATGGACATTCATTAATCTCATTGAAGTTTTTACTTTTAATGACATAACAGTGAATCCATGCTACCCAAAGAGATCTCTGACCAACAAGTAATTTTCGGATTAGATGAACCATGCAAGTTTTGTTCCAAGAGCTAATATTTTTTAACCCTAGTCCACCTTCCGATTTAGGACAACAGATTTTGTCCCAACTGTTTCTTGCAACTGAAGCTGCTATATCAGAACCTTTCCAATTGTTCAAGACGTTTAACAACTTTTTTAGGGAAGGATAAATTGCCTACACCAGAAGTTGACAACACTGTATAAAACATTTTTAATAAGCTCTAGTCTTCCAGCATAGCTCAAGAATTTTCCAGCCCAATTATGAAATCTTTGTTTAATGTTGTCAATAAGAGGCAAGCAGTCTTTTTCATTTAATTTCCTAGTGACAAGAGGTACTCCAAGATATCTAATAGGTAAAAACCATGCTTGAACCTAGTAGCAAATTTAATAAGATCCATATTCCTAGCAGATATACCAGCAGAATAAAATTCAGTTTTGCTAACATTTAGCTTAAGGCCAGACAAATCATAAAAGTGATTAAGCATAGTCATGACTCCAACAATAGATTCCATATTGCCTTTATAGAAAATTAGAAGGTCATCTGCAAAAGATAAATGGGTAATGCCAATTTTTTTTACATTTAGGATGGTACCCAAATAATCCTCTAGCAGCAGCAATGTTAAGTAAATTGGAAAGAATGTTCATTGCTATCACAAATAAAATTGGTGATAATGGATCACCTTGTCTAATACCTCTCTGACCTTTAAAGTAACCTATCAAACTTCCATTAAAAGAAATGGAGTATCTAGCTTCTCTGAAACAAGCTTCAGTCCACTTTATGAAGATAAATGGCAATCCAATAGCATGAAGAATAGATAATAAGAAATCCCAATGAAGAGAGTCAAAGGCTTTTTGAAGGTCAATCTTAAGAGCACATCTTGGAGAAATAATTTTCCTACCATAATCTTTCACTAATTCTTGAGCCAGCAAGGTGTTGTCAATGATAGATCTTCCTTTCACAAAAGCTGTTTGGTTAAGTGAAATAATATTTGGCAGTAGAACAGTTAACCTTTTGACAAGAAAATTTAGTGATAGAATTGTACACCACAGAACAACAAGAAATAGGCCTATAATCCTTGACTTTGCTTGGGTTTTGAATTTTTGGAATTAAGGCTATTATGGTGGAGTTGAAAGCTGGTAAAATATGAGACTCTTGGAAGAAAAATTTGATAACATTAGTAACATCTTCACCAACCACAGACCATGCTTTATTAAAAAATAGAGGGGCATAGCTATCAGGGCCAGGGGCTTTGTCATTCCCTTGGTTAAATAAAGCTTACTTGATCTCTTCATTGGTGATAGGTTTAATAAGGTCAGCAGCAACTTCAGTAGGAAGGTTATAGTTCAGAAGGCTCTTAAGGTAATCAGGATCAGAGGAGATAACCTGTTGAGTTAATCGAATGACGAAATTGGCCAAGAGGGGGGTGAATTGGCAATAAAAATTTTGTGGAAGCTTTTGCAGAAAATTGAAAGTAATTGCACATCGATTTACAGTGGTTCGACTTTCTCAAACAAAGTCTACGTCCACTACCTTAGTTATCAACACTAAGGATTTTCCAACAAATTCACTAATTTGTTCTTTCTTTTGAGGCCAAAGAGATAACCTTACAATTCCCTCAAGAGTATACCCCCAACTCTTGATAACACTCTTTTCTCAAAGAGAAGATTACAAATTTGCAAACTTACAAGAAAACCTCACAAGGTAAGATGTTTGCACAATTCTAGAACAAAGAAAAGAACACTCAAAGATGAATACAATTGAGCACAAAAAGTGTTCTTGAAAGCAAAATGAATATTGAATGAAAATAGGCTTGAAATGCTCAAACTTGAGGTTTGATGCTTTCTCTTTGATTCTCTCTTGATTCTAGTTGCTTGATATTTTTGTTGTTGTTGATCAATGGCTTCTAAGCTTGCTTAAATGCACCTTGGATCACTTCTGAACGTTGGGGATAATTAGAGAAGATATTATAGCTGTTTTAGTGTGAAAACATTTAATAAAACAGCTTGGAGCGTGGGGGGAATCGGTTCCCTCTCATAGGGAATCGGTTCCCTAAGTGTAAAATTCAAATATTTCGACCGTTGAACAGGGGGGAATCGGTACCCCCTTGGGGGGGAATCGGTTCCCTCCGAGCATTCTGGAAATCTCGGAGCCAAACCATTCAGGGGGGAATCGGTTCCTCCTATGGGGGGGAATCGGTTCCCTCTGAGCAATCTGGAATTTTTGGCTTTGAATTGGTTCGAAATACTTTGTAAAATTATTTTGAAATTGTTTTATGATTAAAACTTAATTTTACACTTAAGTAAGGATCAAAAATGATTTTTGAAATATTTGGAGTAATGTTTTGATATTCGAATAGTTATATCGAATATACTTAGAAAATCATTTGGAAAATCTTAAAATCCATTTAACTTAATTTGTTATATCGAAATATTAAAATGTTTCAACAATCTCCCCCTTTTTGATATAACAAAACATTTTAGTAATTTTAAGATTTTTGAAATCAAGTTTTGAAATTACTCCCCCTTACTTTAACACTTCTTCAATTTATCATGTAAAACATTTAACACTTATTCTTCTCCCCCTTTTTGTTAAATCAAAAAGACATTGTAAAACAAGGTTTTGAAAATCATTTAGCCAATTGATTTATTAATTATAAGCTTAAGCTGCTAAGATCACAATCAAAAGAGAGGTTAGCCATTAGTTTCATAAATCAATATTCATAAATAATGTGATATGGCAAAAATTGGTCATATTGCTAATGATAATGTAAATGATGCAAAAATGAATAAAACACCAAACATATAAGTTCACACCATTCATAAATCCAAAATCCAACAATCCACAAAATCAAACAATTCAAAATGTTGAAACAATATTCATTTTGTTCAAAGTTTTAAAGATAAACATAAAATCAAGCATCCGGATCGGTAGGAGGAAAACGGGCTCGCATAGCGGCCATCTCGTGTGTGAGTTCATTGATACGAGTGTTGGTTGATTCATTGTTTGCACACATCTCCCGAAGAATCTCTAATTGTTGAGCTCCCATTGTGGATAAATGAGACTCTATAGAGGAAAAGCGCGAGTCCATGGTAGCGTATCGGAAATCGAATGTCTCCATAAAGGATTGAAAATATGGAGGCATTTGATGCGTTTGTTGTGTTTGCTCCTCGGGCTGCTCTTCGGGCTGATCAGGCTCATCTTCGGCTTCATCAATATCGTGCATTAATTGCTCAAGCTCGGGATCTTCGTCACCTTCGGGTGGAGCTTGTGAAGAACTAGCTCCCGGAGTAGAAGATCGAACCCATTCACCGGTTTCTTTGTTCTTTACCCATCCCGCTCTCGTTAAGGAAAGAAGATTTATTTGTTTCTTAAGAGGAAAAACGGCATCTAGACCGACTCTAAGCCCAGCTTTGGAAAACAGATTACTCAAAAAGCAACCGTAAACTAGAGATGAACAGTGTTTCTTGTTAGGAACAAGATTAACGGTTTCAACAATTTCAGCAAAAATAATCTGAGGTAGGTTAATTTTAATACGGTTTTCGAAACAATGTAACCACCAAAGATCCAAAGCTCTAAGAGTAGAATAACGACCTCCGGATGGTCGAAACCACCAAGAAATCATTAGATGAAAAACGCTCATGTAGGTCTAAGACACTCGCACTATCTCTTCTTTTATAACGAGAACCTAAAATTTGTTTTTCATTCGAAATACCATCATTATCTAATCCAAATGTATTGGCTATATATGCCGGGTCAATATATAAGAATTGTCCTAGGAGGTAGGAACGAATTCCTATGGTTTCGGTTTCAGCTTGGTTTTTAACACATACGACATTAGAGTAGAATATACGAACAAGTTGATGGTAAACGATGGGTTCAAGATCAAATAGTTTATCAAATTTCCATTCTTGTAAAATGGGAAGATATTTAAAATCGATAGCTAACATAGCTTGACGAGAAGGAATACGTTCTTCCCGGATTTTGTAAGAATCGAAATATTGATAATACCAAAATCGGTGATTTCTAGACCCAGGATGATTAAAACACGAATTTTGAATAGTCAAGTTAGGATCAGTGGGATTGGGATTAGAAATTGGAATAGAAGGAGGATTTGGAGGTGGATTTGGTTGACGACTAGAACGACTAGATGAAGACCTAGGACGTTTAGGATTTGACATGGTGAAGGAAATCGGAATAGATAGAATAACCTGCAATTTTAAAACAAATGTATGCAACTCAATTAATCCAAAAACTCAATTGAGTCCTCAATATTTCAAGGTTCTCTAAATCAATCCTAATGGGCGAAGTTTTTGAGAAACTTTTGAAAAATATGGTTTTGAGAAACAATATATGTATAGTTTTCATAATAACAACATAATTTAATCAAAACACAATAATTTGAAAAATAACATTTTTTTATTTCGAAAATTAAAAAAATTTGAAAAATTCTTGTGTTTTTGATGAAATTAGTTGTAACATCTAGTTTCTAATCACTAAATAATCAATGCCCTATCACTATTTCAACCTAGAACTAATTAAAACTAATCCTATGTTCAAAAATAATGAAATAAAGAGTTTAGAAAAATTACCTTGAAAGATGAAGATTGAGGGGATTTAGATGTTGTTTGCACGACTTTAATGATTTCAACAGGTTTAGAAGATGATATATGAAGTAAATTCCGATTAATATTGTCGATTTGAGACAAAAATGGAGATTTGAGGGTGTAGGAGGTGAAGAACGGCGGAAGAGAGAAGAAAATGAGGGTTTGGGATTTTGGGGGTGTTCTGTCGATTTTAACAGAACCCCAGGGGGTATCGATTCCCCTGTGGGGGGAATCGGTTCCCCTTCAAAGGGGGAATCGGTTCCCTCAGGGGGGGATCGATTCCCTCTGCACCAAAATGCTAAAATTCGATTTTTAAAGCACAAAATGCTAAATTAATCTTTTCTAATGGTATTGGCAACTCATATATCAAAAATTAATTATGTTTAAACAATTAAATTAATCTTTAATCGATTTTTGAACATAAAATTAATTTTCACTAAGAATCACAAACTCCCCCTAACTAATAGCAAGAATGCAATCAAAAATTATTATAAGCATTTTTCAAGATTTATTAAAAGTGCTAAAATTATTTTAAACACTAAGTGAAGATAGGTTGGTCAAACCTAATTCTCTCCTAAGTGTCCAAAATCTTTCCTTGTCTAAGGGTTTTGTAAAGATATCCGCTAATTGGTGCAAATTATCAACAAATTCTAGAACTACATCTTCCTCAGTGACATGGTCTCTAATGAAGTGATGTCTTATTTCAATGTGCTTAGTTCTAGAGTGTTGGATGGGATTTTTAGTGAGACAAATAGCACTAGTATTGTCACACTTGATAGGAATGGTACCTACTTCAATTCCATAATCAAAAAGTTGTTGTTTCATCCATAAAACTTGTGCACAGCAACTACCAGCTGAAATGTATTCGGCTTCAGTGGTAGATAATGCAACACAATTTTGTTTCTTTGAAAACCAAGAAATCAGCATATTTCCAAGGAATTGGCAAGTACCGGAGGTGCTTTTCCTATCTAATTTGCATCCTCCATAATCCGCATCAGAAAAAGCATGCAAGCTAAAGCTAGAGTCTCTAGGATACCAAAGTCCTAAACTAGGAGTGTCCTTAAGGTATCTAAAGATTCTCTTAACAGCTAGTAAATGTGATTCCTTAGGACATGATTGAAATCTAGCACATAAGCAAACACTAAACATAATGTCCGGTCTACTTGCAGTTAGATAAAGCAAAGAGCCAATCATTGACCTATATAATTTAACATCTACACATTTACCTCCTTCATCTAAGTCAAGCTTTGTTGAAGAGCTCATTGGAGTGTTATGAGGTTTCCCATTTTCCAGTCCAAACTTCTTGAGCATATCTTTGACGTACTTAGCTTGATTAATGAAGATGCCATCTTTTCTTTGCTTGATTTGGAGTCCCAAGAAAAATGAGAGCTCCCCCATCATGCTCATCTCAAACTCACTTTGCATTAGCTTAGAAAATTCTTGACAAAGAACATCATTAGTAGAACCAAATATTATATCATCAACATAAATTTGAACTACTAATAAATCTTTACATTTTCTCTTTAAAAACAATGTAGTGTCAACCTTTCCTTTTAAAAAACCTTTTTCAATTAAAAATTTGACAATCTTTCATACCAAGCTCTAGGAGCTTGTTTTAAACCATAAAGAGCTTTTGTCAATTTTAAAACATGATCCAGAAAATTTGAATCTTCAAAACCTGGAGGTTGTTCCACGTACACTTCTTCTTTTATAAAACCATTTAAAAATGCACTTTTAACATTCATTGATATAATTTAAATTCATTGAAACATGCAAATG